TGTGTGTGTGTGTTTCAGGTTACAAAGCTCCATGTCGCTCAGTGTGAGAAGCATTTAGACTGCCACTCCTGTCTGTCTAATAGAGATCCCTACTGCGGCTGGTGTTCGCTGGAGGGCAGGTACTTGAGCTCACCTGACTGCTGTTACACATCACTGCCTGCTCTTTCAACACTCCCTTCCCATCAGGCCGCACCCCTCGCTTTATATAAACATCGCATTTTATCATATGGAGATCATTTACATAGATCATTTTAGATATTCATAATTTCTTCAACGACTTCTGCTTCCACAGAACAGCAGTTGCATTACCGGTTCAACTATTTTGGGTTATTTATTAACACTTTTTGTTATGGGATTGTTCTATGGATTATTATGAGTCCATAATTTAATACTACACTACCATTCAAAGGTTTGGGGTCGGTAAGAAATTAATACTTTTATTCAGCAAGGTTGCATTAAAGGGCACCTATTATGCCCCTTTTTGCAATATGTAATATAAGTCTCAGGTGTCCCCAGAATGTGTCTGTGAAGTTTCAGCTCAAAATACCCCACAGAGCATTTTTTTATATAATTTTGAAAATGCCTATTTTGAGTGGAAGCAGAAAAACGCTGTATTAGAGCATGTCTCTTTAAATGCAAATGAGCTGCTGCTCCCCGGCCTCTTTTCTAGAATAGGGCTGTACCTTTACAGCTGGTAACTGCTAAAAAAAACATCTGTTTGGTTTTGATTATCATGTCTATCGCGCTGAAATCACGCATTTTAAAGCCATATTAGTTTAGACTTCTAATAGATGGTTTTCTGAGCGCAGACATCCGAAGCACGCGTATAGAAGGTACTAAGTTCTCTCACACACGAGTTTTGTTAAAAACACACACAAGTTACAAAAACACAGTCGATTATGATTGTGAAGGTAAACATCTGGGAAAGAAATCGCATGTTTATATTAGATCTGTGTATTAAGTGACATCAGCATGATCTACAGTACCTATACTGCTGTCTATGCTATTAATATGACCCAAAGAATAAAATAAAAGCAGAGAATCACTTACTGCTCTGGACTGAATAACGTCTATAGCCTTAATAAGAAGACATTTCTTACGTGAAGATAAACATGGCGGATTGTGTGCGGCTCACTCAGGGCGGGGTCTCTGCTAGCTTATGGCAGTGTCAATCAACAATCGTGGGTGGGGCTGGTAAATTGTGATGTCACACTTTACGGATTCTGTGATTGGCTTGCTCTGAGACGCTGTTAATGATATATGAAGATTTTGAAAAAAGAGTGGGTGGATTTTTATCATTATAGGGTGGTTGTGTACACACACTGCCAACACACATTTATGTCCAAACAACATGTGAAAGTGTATTTTGCATAATAGGTGCCCTTTAAATTGATTAAAAGTGACAGTAAAAATATTTATAATTTTACAAATGATTTTCACTTCAAAATTAATTATTTTGAACATTCTATTCTTTAAAGAATCCTGAAAAAAAATGCGTCACAGTTTCCACAAAAATATTAAGCAGCACAGCTGTTTTCAACATTGATAATAATAAGAAATCTTTCTTGAGAAAAAAATGAGCATATTAGAATGATTTCTGAAGGATCATGTGACACTGAAGATTGGAGTAATGATGCTGAAAATGCAGCTTTGCATCACTGGAATAAATTACATTTATTACAGAAAACGGTTGTTTTAAATTGTAATGTATTTCACAATATTACTGTTTTTATTGTATCTTTAATTAAATAAATGCAGTCTTGATGACAATAAGAGACCTCTTTCAAAAACATCTTACTGACCACAAACCTTTGAACAATGGTGTATATTTGTCTTTTTAAAGAGTCATCTGTTCATCCCCATGTAGTTTTGACACTATATTATTTTTTATATATTTTTTTTCATTCTCCAGGCTTCTGTTTTCCCTACAACAAAAGTGGATTGTAACTTACACTGCAATAAGCACCAAAGGGCATCAAACAAGCACAAAACAGCACCATAAATTACAGAAAACGGTTGTTTTAAATTGTAATGTATTTCACAATATTACTGTTTTTATTGTATCTTTAATTAAATAAATGCAGTCTTGATGACAATAAGAGACCTCTTTCAAAAACATCTTACTGACATCTTCACAAACCTTTGAACAAGTGTGTATAGTTGTCTTTTTAAAGAGTCATCTGTTCATCCCCATGTAGTTTTGACACTATATTATTTTTTATATATTTTTTTTCATTCTCCAGGCTTGAGAATGAAAAACAACAAAAGTGGATTGTAACTTACACTGTGGATTGTAACTTACACTGCAATAAGCACCAAAGGGCATCAAACAAGCACAAAACAGCACCATAAAAGTCATCTGTGAAACTGCACTATATTCCAAGTCTTTTGATAGCATGGAAACTTTTTATGAGGAACAGACGAACAGTAACCACAAGTAATTCACAAATAATCGTCCTCTCTGCTGTAGCTCTCATATCTCATGAATCCTATCAATTCGGTCTGTCCTCACATAAAGCTATCATATGACTTTAGAAGACTTGGAATATAGTGCATGAGTCATATGGGCTTACTTTGATATTTTAAAAGTGCTTTTATGTTTTTTTTTTTTTTAGCATACATAGCAATCCACTCTTGTTACATGAGAAACAGAATCTCAGACATTCTAACAAAATAATAGGGTCAGAACAACATTGTTTTTCTGTTTGCTTTTAATGCTTTTATAAAATATCTCAATCTCTGTGAGGCCTTTATAGTTTATTTCCATTTTGCTTTCATATCCACTGTAACTTTCAGCAGACCCATATCCCATTTTTTGTTTGTGTATCAGATGCACAAGGAAGATGGACTGTGCACGGCACGGTCAGCCTCATCACTGGATCTGGAGCTACAGCCGTGAGCGCCAGTGTGTGTCCATAGAGAGTCTACACCCCTCCATCCAGAGCAGAGAAGAGCAGACACGGGTACAAACCCTGATCCCAGATCACCACCCACACTCTGCTGTCACATTATAGTCTGAGGTCTTCACTGCAGCCTATTTTAGCCAAGAGCCGCCCACTTAGACAAGAAGCGACTCCCTGACCGACATGTAACACAGTGCCAAACCGGGCATGATGTGACTAAGCAGAAAGCAATCAAAGCTATCTCTTCCATTTTTATCAGTTTTTATTCTTAAAAGCACAGACAGCCTAAACACGCCCTTCCGGCCCGCGGTTAACAGGTTAAAAAGGCTGCAATAAGCAACATTTTGTCAGTTTTTGGGTTTCATGGTGAAATCTCATTGAACCAAGTCCTGCTCCACAACTCTATTTTAAACATCAGATATGCTCAGCTCATATTGTGCCTCTTCAGAGCATTTTTGCTTTTGGTGTGGATAGACAAACTACTTCTTAAGGAATATTTGTTGCATCCTGACTCCTGGAAAATGCATGAAGCCAGCCATTAAGATTAGAGCTTATCATTTTGAGGGGGAAAATATAGATTGTTTTGCTTCTGTGAGAATTGACCAAAATATTGATGCCTCATCTTGCACCAACGTATACAGATGTTTCTCGAATCAAAGGCTTTATAGAGTGCATTTGCATCTGACTGAGAATAGTAAATAGCTAATAATGTTTAAGGTTGCACTGCAAACTAGAAGGCTCTTGGCTATGTTTAATCTTTTTTTAAGAGAATTTTGATATGCCCCATCTCGAATTCTTGCTTCAATTGTAAATGCATCAATACACTGCACTCAAGGTCTTCAAATGCACAGTAACATTCGTGTAAGGGGTCAGGAATAGTAGGTTTGCTACAGCATTGACCGGTTAGCAGCAGATCTCCGCTTATGCAATACTAACAGATGGTTACATACAGTGAAAACCTTGGTCTTAACAAGCAAAGCACAAAATCCTCACCAGCATCCAAACAAAAGTATCGACAATATCTCTGATTAGTATTCACAACACCAACCATGGCCTTGCACATTCTTAAAATGGCCATTAAATGTCTGATCTGTTTTTTTCTTCTTCTCTGCTTTCAAGGTCTCTTTCACAGTTCTACAGTTGCCGGTCTTGTCAAAGGATGAGTCTCTATTTTGCGCTTTTGGGAGTTTGGCTGCTCAGCCTGCAGTTGTCATGGAGAACAGAATCACATGTCAATCACCGGCTCCAGAGCAGCTCCCCCCGAGTCCGCCAGGCAACGGTGAGCCACGCTGACACCATCGCATTGCCAAGACCGTTTTATCCCAGCAACCAACTGTTGAGCTGAGGGGAAACCCAAACCATTTCTTTTCAAGAGAGAACATGCTTCTGTTACACTCACAATACATGTTTTTATTCTTTTATTCTGAAACTGTCTATCGGGGTTTTATCTAACTGCACAAGCGGCGATAACTAGTGTCTTAGAATATGTTTGCATGCATGTTGTGAATGTGTGATGGCATGGATTTGCAGATATTTAAAGATACTTCTGTTGATTTTACTGGCATTGAATCTGGGTTACAGGGATTATTTTGACGTAGGGTATTAATTTATCTCCTGTGCAACTAGAAAATGTCAATCTGTCGGGAATATGTACTAAAGCTTATACAGATCCCGACAATGAGTTGTGCATCTCTCTAGCGTATACAGTAGTACAGTAGTATTTACTGTGCAGGGATGGTTAAATCCATGTTAAATATTAAATACGAGTACTCTCATTTCAAGTTGGAACATCTAGGTCAAAACAGAGGAAGTTTTAAATATGGTCAGTTATGTCATTTGCTCATATTTGTTTTTTTGTAGATCACGTATCTGTTCGAATGGCGCTGAAGTTTGGAGACGTGACCGTCTCGCATACAAATATCACTTTTTATGATTGTAAAGCAGTCGGACGGCTCAACGCTACCTCACCGTAAGCACATTTGCACACAAGTTGAAGTAGTTGAACTATGTAAACATGCTCCTACACAACAGAAGCGAACCTACAGAAGCGAACCTACAACAACTTTTAGATCTCTTTAGTGCCTTTTGACGTAATAACTTATGCTTACTAAAATGTTCACATATCAATGGTAATTTAATAATGTCATGTGGAACGAGAGGGAGCAAGGAAAGCCAGTCATAACAGAGGTTACAAACAAAAGCAACCTGTTTAGGTGTATCTCATAGAGCCTGTAATAAGGAATTGCAAGGCAAGACACCACATGTCAATAGGATTAATTTAAATAATACTATCGCCATACTTTCCTCAATTGATTAATCACAGTACATTAAGACTTTTTCTTCTATTAAAAGTTTTGAAATGGTTTAAATATGCAAGTGAGGCATAATCTAATTAAACAAGCACTAATTTGCATATATTTCCAGAACAGAAGTCTGAACATTGGATTAAGCCAGGTTCAAAATTCTTGTTTAATTTTGTTGATATATTACAGTCAAAGATCTTTACAGAGGGGATTTTGGATATCTAGTGTTTACTCTTCCAAAAAAAAAAGTTCTTTGGGAATTATTGTTGTGATTAATTTACATGGCTATTCTTGGAAAAATGATAATGTTTGTCTAAAACACTGTGGCAGAAATCATGCATTCATGTCTAAATTTGGTCCGTTCAATCACATTGCACCTTCCACAGATGATTTGCATTAAACTGAAAATTCTCTTCTTATCTGACCAACCCTTGCCCTCACTGAGATTCTCATTTTGTGTGCGCGTGTGAACAGGAGCAGTCATCGCCCCGCGGGCCCGACTCTTGCCCCTGCGTCTGGGCTCTGCAGAGCTTCCCTCTGGTTCCTGTTGGCTTTGACACCGAGCTCTCTCTGCAGGGCAAAAACCTGGACATATTTGAGGTGATGCTCATCTGCCGCTTATCCCACCCCATCCATTGTGCCTGAGTCAATATGTTGGCCTTGACGTTTCATGGCTGTGCATTTTAAAAGGCCATTACTCCCCGGTGTTCAGGAGGGTCTGGGTGAACTCATTTATGATAATGCATGTGGAATGGGGAAGGGGGTTGGAGACTGCTCGTGATTAGCGTTTGATTGTGTGACATGCTGTGTGATATTTTAAACAGGATGAGGAAGATTATGCTTGCGTGCTGGTCATCGAAGGCCAGGAGCTGCGCTTGCCAGCCACGTTGGACCGCAGCAAAGAGACAGGGACGCATGTGTTCAAGTGTGCCGCTCATCAGGTGATATTAATAGCGTCCATTTATTCATTGCAGCATCAAATTACGCCACAGCCGCTGCAGTTAATATAGACTTGTGCGTGTGACGTCTGCACTGATAATAGCTGTAATTTATGACACCAGCCAGAAAAACACAGCAATTCAAACATGGATTTGTTGATGGTGCCACACATAATTTGTCTGCACCTGGCTGATTATACATTGATTTTGTGCGTGTGTGTTTAGTTTCGGTATTCAGGAAAGCAGTTTGAATATTCCGCTCCTGTATATCTGCAATGGGGGACGCAGCGTATAGACTCAGCACCACATCTCCGCTGTGAGTACCGTGACCATTTCTGCATGTTTTTTTCAGTGGTCTGATCTTCAAAAATCATAAAATTAACTCTTATTGTTATCAATGTACTTACTAATTTGCTTGACATAAATGCATGTAAAATATATCATTTTGAAAAAATAAATGGTTAATAAATATATATTAAAAAAAAAAATACATAAGGGATAATGTACATCCATCTGGTTGTTATGACAGAATAAACCCCAGAGGATGATCAGGACCCCAACATAAAGCAAATATTTAATTATTTAAAATATAATTGTTTAAGAATTATTCATTCTATATGGTGTATATATGTATACATAAATAAATATATATATATATATATATATACACCAGTTGTTTTTTAAAAACCAGACAGACAGACAAACTTCCACCATGTCTAAAAACCAGTGAATCACCCACAGCAACAAGTGAATCATTGAAGCAGCTAGTAACCGTTTTGTGTCTGTTGGTTGTGAGCTCACTGTGATCTGTGTTTCTGTGTAACAGTGCAGCTGTATGACTGCTCAGTGGGACAGTCCGACTGCAGCCAGTGTCGTGCGGTTGCTGCCAATTACGGATGTGTGTGGTGTGCCGATGAAACCCCCGGCTGTGTGTATAACCAATCCTGCACCAGTGGAACCATGGACACCTGTCCTCCTCCTCTAATTACTGAGGTACACATATGCACGGTCCAAAATTAAATTGTGTGGGTGAATTGAGAAAATGTATCACCAATCATGAAACTTATTTTGTGTTTTTTCCTTAAAGATGTATTTTGTTGGCAAGTCAATGGAATTAATTTAGCTTTAGTTTTTCTCTTGAGTATTTGTAGCAAACCATACAGCTAATTTTGTCATTTGCATAATCACAAACCTGTCAGTGTATCAGCTGTCACAAAACATCAAAGTCATGGGTTTGGTTCCTAGGGAATGCATGAATTGGTAAAGCATATACTTTTTGATAAAAGCTTCTCCCGAATGTATAAATGTCAGTGTGAAGGCAAAAGCTGTCAGAATAGTCACTGATCTTTTCTTTTTTGTAATAAGTGTACAGTTTGTGTTGAAGGATCTAAAGGATCTAGTTTTGAGTGTTCAGTAGCAATCTGTGTGTATGTGAAGCTTGAAATGCACCACCATACGTTTGTATTGTTTTATTTTCTCAATTTGCTTTCTTTAATTATCATTCATAATTAACAATTTCTTGAATAATATATATTTAATCATTTAATTATTCAAATAATTGATCATTTAATCATTTGTCATTTTAAAAATCTATTTTATATATTGTATTTTTATATACACATGTATATAACAACATTTATATAACTTTTATATTTTATATTACGTATTATTTCACTTTCATTTGCAGTGCTTGTTGTTTAATCTGAAGATTTTTTTTTCTTTTTAGAAATAATGGAATATATATATATATTTTTTTATGGAATAATGTGAAGCAATTTGATATAACAACACTTGTTGGATTTGTGCCAAGTCCAACTGAGCATAAAAAAACCCCAACAGAAATCATTCATTAAACCCTGTTTATCATCATATTGTTTCCCGCTTTCTACTCTTCCCTGCCTTACTCTTGTCAACCTTTTGGGCTGATAGAAGACAGTTAATACAGTTTTGGGTATCAGACAAAATGCAATGTTAACTGGTTTTGGGTATCAGAACAAACAGATATTTTCTGGAGAGACTGGGTCTAATATCTCTGGCCTGGAGTTGCAAAATAAATTTAGGCATAGTGTCTCTTTGATTTGATTCGCTCACATAGCTTTTGAAAGAATAAAAAGCTGTGAGGCTTAAACTATTGTTATTGCACTTCCATTTAAACCTATTATTGTTACTGAAAAATGGTCATTTCACTTACTTTGCAAACTAACCATTAGTCACATACAACGCTTGGCGGGTGCTAATTTTGGTCTTCAAACACATATTTATAAAAGACACTCTGTGTATTTTGTACACGTTGCAATTTGTGTTAAGTTCAATGTGCCAGATTCTATTAGAAAACAGTCAATTAAATGTTAAAGAGTCATTTTCTCAAACTTTTATCTGTGGGTAGGTCGAGCCGCTGACTGGGCCACTGGAGGGCGGCATCCTGCTGACTATC